TTCTTTCTCGCCCTTTGTTCCCCCTTTGTCATCTTCACTGCCTCGCTCTCGTGCCTTGTCCTTGGTTGCTAAGCAGCCCCTCTAGTATATAAGGACCCCCCTAGGCGCTCCCTAGTCCCCATCTCGACCTCTTGGTCATTGGGACTAGGTGAGTGACCATAGTGTTGTATCTCTCTTCGATTGCTAATGTATAACTTGGTCATTGGGACTAGTCTGTCGCTATCTGCGTGAAGACTAGCTTCGTAGGTCTTGTGCCTTCGTGCCGGCCTCCGCTCTGCCCCGTCGAGTTTCTTGTTGCGTTTATCCCTCTTTCCCTCGCTTTCCCCCTTTCGGCTCCTCGCCGCTCGCCTACGGGGTCGTCGCCGAACGTCGACCCGAGTCTACGCGCCTAGTCGCCGCGACAGTCTGGTTGGACACTACAAGGTGGAGGGAATCTGTAGACCAGCAATTCTGATAAAAGTGGAGAAGCGGCAAGCTCGCAGTAGGGCCATGGTCGCTTGTAAGACGTGCTAAGAGAAACCCCAATTAAATTTTGACATATAACCTATTTTAAGAGTGCTTATCCGAGGTTGGGCTGAGGGAATCGAGTGCAGAGAATCGCGATTCGAGTGGGCGGTGCTCCTCCAGACTCGCACCGGCGATTTGACGCGATTCTGCCAGAATCGCGGATTCCCCCCCTCTCGAATCGTCTCCCGAATCGTTCCCTCGAATCGTCCACCGAACCGCCATCTTTGACTACCCCTATTATCAGGGACTATACTAATTTATCTCTAATTAGCATGTGAGGTTTTTCCTGATGGGAAGAGTGGAGATGGATATGAAGCAGGGACAATAACTCACTAGTCTCACCCACCGCGCTCCCTGTACAAACAAACGAATATGGTTTGAGGACAGCCGGCTCGTACGTCACCGCACTCGTCGTCTCCTCAGATGGACGCTGGCCCGGTGGCGACGGCATCCCGCGATACCACCATCATCCTCTGGGATGCCCGAGCTGCTCGCATCTCGAACGAGTGGTTTTACCACGACGAGGAGGTGGTCTGGTTTCTTGCATTTTCATCAGATAGTCGATATCTGGTCATGGGTTGAAGGATCCGCAAAGTACGCATAGCGCTATGGATTCCCAAAGGCCGCAGGTTTATAGCCTGTTCCCTTGCCTTCAATGGCCAGGACTGGACGGACGTCCGCAACGCATTCTTCCTGAGCCCTGCCCCCTTTACACACTACTTGCGTACTCGAACGTCTCACTCTCGCCCCTGTCTGTACCCCGGCACGTCCCCTTGCACCATCCCTCATCGATATCTCCTCCATTACACACCCTTAGACTGCATGAGCATCCTGCTCAATTATGTACCGCCGACCCCTTTTACCACACATGTAGACAGGATTGTATTTACGGCCTACCATGAGGCTCGGCCTTGCAGGGCAATAAACGGGATCTAGAAGAAGAAGAAGAAGAAGCGCTATGGATTCGGTCCTCTTGGATGCCTGTTCGACCCCCCGTTGATCGGGCTCTGGATGCAGCTGTTCCAGGCATAGCTCACACATCAGCAAAAGTGCTAAAATCGCCCTCAGGATTGCCGGTATTGCCTGAAGCGTCGGTTCAGGCGCGGGACAGCCCGAGCGCCCGATATGGGCGCTGGAGGGGCCTGTCCTTGCAATACTTGCAATATCGGGCGAGACTTGCGAGAAGGTTGCATGACGGCACAATGTTGGCTTTGTTTTGCATGACCGTGCCTGCGCTCACAACGGTGTGTAGTACTCATATGTAGTCAGGACATTTTCATTGTCTTAAGTGAGTCGGCGCAGAAGGGGTCGGCTTCCTGATGAGGAGGCGTTGACCTGGTGCATGCACACATATTCTATTCAAGGCATAAGGCTATATTAGATTCACTACAGACTACGCGAAGAACCTCAAGCTCGTCTCAATCTTCTGTTTCCGCCATGCAACAAGGAGCGTCATAAGCAGCCGCACGAAAGAGACAGGACCAAACACGGTAGGGGCAACTCGAGTACCGAAATGCGCCTCCCAATTAGCAGTTTCCACAGCTGCTCGTCGCCTTGGCCGCGGCCGCAGTGGCAGCCACGAGATGCTCTTTCTCAGCTCGCGACACCTCGATGGCTTGCCCGTTGACCTTGCCGTCGTGCTGCACGACCTTGCTCTGCACAAGCTCCTCCGCCTCTAGCTCTGCGAGCCCGCGCATCCAGTTTTTGCGAGTCTTCTTCCACTGTGGTGCACCGCAGACTGCGAGCTGGCACGCCACCGGCCGCTCATGGTCCGCCAGTTTAAGGTGACTCTTCGCATCGATGGATGGCGTGGCGGGTGCGCCGAGCGTCCATAGCGCCTTCCTTCGTCGACGCCATCTTCTCCAGGTCTGGAGCGCGGCGACGGGAGTGGTCTTGAAGGAGGTATATGCCCCTGTACGCGTGCGGCACCGGCTTCTGAACTCCGGTCATAGTCAGTGCTAAGGGACAGTTTGCGGACGACTCAACAAGTGCGCATACACGCAGTGGTCAGGGCGATAAGTGGGAGAGGATAGCTAAGTTTCCTCTCAACCACTGCCAGCGCGAGCACGTGTTCAGTGGGTTGAACGTGTCCGGTGAGTAGGCGCCGATGCGCGTCACAGCTCCACCTTTGCGCTATAAAGAGCGTCCTTGCGCAGAAAACGTCAATTCCCTTCTTTCCCTTGTACTCATATAATCTCTCTCAGATCACGCTCCTCAACTCCCAGACCAACTGCTGTTGGTTACAAACACCCACCCTCCAAGCTGAAGGATCCACTGCGCGGCAATCACGCGCTGTAAGTATGTACATATTCTGGCGCATATATGCGCCCATCTACTGACTCTTCCTAGCGAGCTCGTCTACTACGCCTTCACCTTCAGTGATGCATGCTTCAACTCGCGTCTTAACCAGCCTCTCCTTTCTCTCACTCCAGCTTATCCTCGTTCTCGTTCTCCTCCAGATCACATACAGCCACCCGGTTTCCTCTCCAGAGCTGGCAGGGCTGGCAACACTCGCTAAGTCGCTCCTTCAGTTTGGATGACCGGTCGCTTTTTGTATCCACAGCAAGGGCAAGATCCCGTTGTGGAACGGTCAGCATGCGGCGAATATTCTAACAAGTCCACTCTTGAGCCTCAGCATTGGTTCTGCGGTCACGCGAGGCTTGTGCCTTCCCCGGCCCCTTGTAAGCTCCTTCCCCGTTCCTCCCTGTCCCCCACTCTTTCCACCTCATCTTCTGTTCGCTCTCTCTCCCTGTAGAGCATGCCTGACTCTACCGTCCCACCTCCTCTGCTCCTGGCTTTTCCTACTCCCTACTCACCCCCACTCACCGTAGTGTCAGCCCCAGCACGTTTTGGCTGCATAGCAGACACAATCGCATCATCCATTTAGGTCGCGTTCACCGATCAGCGCCCTTCGTTTCTTCGACAACGACACCCCAGTCCAGCCCAAGCGCGCATATAGTCTCCCCGCCACCTCGGCATCCATCGGGCACCCTCTATCTCGCGTTGCAATTTCTAGTAGTGTTCGCGAGCGACGAGGTAGCGCCACAAGCAACTCAACGGTACGTAGGATCTTGAAGTCTGGGATGTTCCTTCCGCTTGTGCATCTCGCGCCGGACACCATCAGGGACCATATTGACGGTGACGAACCCGCCCATATTCTAACATCCGCAGAACAGTGCAGGAGCACGGGTGGGTCGTCCTTTGCGGTCCCCGAAATCTCCGTGATTGTGTTGACTGTAGGAGCGTATTTGCCCGCAACAACGGTATTGCCATGCAGCAGCACTGTTGTACGGTAGAGTAGGCT